AATTTCCTGGCTAAACCAAATGATGGCATGAACTCTTGGAAAGACCATCTACTTCTAAATAGCCCTAAATTCAGTCCAGTACTTCTGATTCATAAATTCATCATGAAGTGACAACTATGTCCCAATTAGGAAAGTGTTTCTCTGTGTGTTTTAATTTTTTTAACGTACAGAACTCGTGATTGCTAATCAGCATGCTGTGATTACTCTCAGTAAGGACCTGGAGAAGGCCGTTTTCTCACTGGAAGATGCAGGGCTCATTTCTGAAGCCCAAGCTGGTTCAGACTAAGCTCTCAGTCCTCCTATAATGGGAGCTACGTGCTCAGTTGGGCTCTGGGGGGTGGGTAGTAGGCTGAAAAAGAGCACCAGATTTGAAGTTAGAGGATGCCAAGGTCTGACAGTTTAATATGCAAACTTTGATACACTTTTTCCTTCTGGCTTAGTTTTCTGTCTGAAAGTGGGAACACTCAGGATAGGCGGCTCAGTGGTTAAGAACATGTAGTGCTCAGGCAGAGAACAACAGTTCAGTTCCTAACACCTACATGAGCTGCTTTACAACTTCCTGTAACTCCCTGTAATTCCAGCTCTATGGAATCCAAAACCTCTCCAATCCTCAGGCATCTGCATTTTCAGCCCCGGCCTCCCATAACAACACACACATAATTAAGATAATAAAAAATAAATCTTTAATAAAGTGGCAATACAAAAAAGTTACATTCTAAACCCAATTACATGTATAGAGCAAAACTGTTAAAAGAAAAATTAAGTTTAAATAGCATTTAATGAACATGCTCTTGAAAGCCAAGGTCTGCTGCTAACTCATCTCCACCCTTCATGCTCACTGTCAATCTTGCTGCGCTGCATGACTGTCATGTTCAAAGATATATAAGTAGTCTGGGTCAAGGACCCACACAGCTCACCCTCTTTCTTCCTCTGGTTTCAAATGAAGAAGCCACTCGAGTGATATGATTAATCAATTTTGTTTAGAGTCAAGTATGATATTAACACCAGTATCCAACTCTCATGACACAGACACAGGGGATATATAAGCCACAGCAGACAGAAGTAGCTATGCTACTGTTTAGGACACAGAGATTCACATGTGTGAGAAATGATAAACATATAATTTATTGTACAGTGCTTTCAATTTTTATTCCATTTTAATTTATCTCCTTAGCTTTTCGATTCTTGACTGTGCAGGCAATTTGACCAGCAACTTGAAGCTCCTGCTGCAGTGACTTCCCGACTAGATGTACTGTGAGCCACAATAAACCCTTTCTTCTTTACACTGCTGTTATCAGGATATTTTGTTACAGCAGCAAGAAAAGTAACCAAGACAGATTCTGAAAGAAACTGAAGCATCCCACATCAGAAGCAGAATGACACAATGACAGAATGTCACCTCCAAGACAAGCGAACAGGTAAGGTAAACAGGAGCATCTTATGTAACACTCTCATTAAAAGTTGGGACACAAACCATATCTTAATAGTACTTTACTTGCTTATATACGCATACACCACCCCCTCAGCTTTTATGGATCCTAGGCAGGGAACTGGGTAACTCAGATACAGACATAGCATGAAGACTACCATTGTGTGAAGTCTGAGCTATGTACTATTCAATTTAAGCAGTAAGTTTTGACCAGCAAGACAGCAGTGTAAGTTGAGATGGATGCTGTCCTTAGTGGTAGTTTCAAGAGTAAGTATCTGCAGGTGATGTCAGAACTATAAGGGACTTCCCTCGAGCTGTTTATCTGCTCTAAACCCGTCATTGTATAGATGTTCCCAGGGCACCAAAATTAAACAACATGTATAACATACACAGCAAGAGACAGAATTAGATATCAGGTACTCCAATATCTACTCCGTGACTCTTATTTTATCTGCTCATTTGAGGAAAAGAGAACCAGGTAAGTGTGGATGCATTGTGAGATATCATGGTTTACTTAAAAGTCTCAAGAGTACAAAACAATACCTTGGGACAACTAATGCAATCTTTGGCCTACTCTATGGATATGCTGACAAAAGCTCTGCTTTATTTTTAAATTATTTTGTCCCAATAATTGTACATGAGTAGCATGTTCCCCATATTTAACTCACTTGAATCCACTGAGAACAAATAATGCCTCAAGTTAATTTTCTAAACAAATGCCTTACACAAGAAGACTTACCAAATCAAATACAAATATAGACTGATAATTCTTTTACTAAAATCTAAGAGTTGGGAATTTAAAAACTTACAGTGGGGCCTGGTAGAACAGGACTATAATCTCAGTTACTCAGGAGACTGAGGCATGAAGACAATTCTAGGTTGACCTGGCCTACAAATGAGCTCAAGGCCAGCAAGGGAAACTTTGTAACACTGTATCTCAAATTTAAGACAAAAAAAAAAAAAAAAGAGGTCTGAGAAAATGGCTGAGTGGTAAAGTACTTGCCCAGCACTGGTTTGATGCCTGGATTCATTTCCCAGTACGGACAAAACAAAGAGGACAAAAGTTATAAAGTACACAAACCATTATAGAAAACCCCTCACGCCAGCAGCCAAGAGCACCACACAGCAATCAAACCTATTAATGTTGGTTCAGTAAAATCCAGGATAAAGCTCACTTACCTCATTGGTTTGTACCATTTTTTACTACCAAAGAGCTTTTGCATTTTCTGGTTTTCTGAAGATAAGATTTAGGAAAGGGATTACAGACTGTGTTAGGCTGCCTGGGTGCGTGCTGGTGTGCTGTGAGCGCACAGGAGGAGGACAGAGGGCGAAACTAACTCTCTGCCTCACTTTTTGAGACAAGGATTCAGCTAGGATGACTGGCTAGTGTGTCACTGGAACCCACATATCTGCACCTTCCCAGCCTGGGATAAAAGGTGCATACAGCTGGGCCAAGCTTTATAAAAGTGTGGGGCTCCAATTCAGGCCCTCATTACTGCAGGGCAAGTAACCTACTGATGGAAGACATTTCTGCCGTCCAGTAAGTTTTTAATGAGACCAGAATACACAATCACAGCAGGGTTTGATTTTAAGACAAGTCTCATCCATACGGCCTCATTTGTTATACAGCCCAAGCTGGCCTCCACCCAAGGTCCTCCTGAGTGCTGGGATTACAGAGGTGTTCTACCATACCCAGCTTAGAGGTAGCATTTATATCCCAGGTTGGTGCTAACGGTTTGCTTTCAGTTAAGGAATACAACATAGAAAAGAACAAGAGCTCACAAAACGATTTGCAGAGCATTGTATTCCTACCACAGCTCAATTATTAACTAAACAAAAGCTGCCACTTATTGAATGTGAATTTCTAAGTGGAAATAGATAAACCTACTTTAATCTACTGAGGGGAACTATACTCTCTTTGGGTCCGATGTATATAAAAACAGGCACTCTGGATACAATGGAATACACAGAACTAAATGGTATCGCCTCAGCTCGGGACTACTTACCTGAAGTAAATAGGAAATTTTCTTTTTTTTCCCCCTCCATATTCCATCTTCATTTTGTTTGTCACTATTTTTCTGGCCAAAAATTTTGTTTTAATAAAATTTTCATTAAAGACAGCAATAATCAATTTTTATTTTAATTCTAGTCGTTTGTAGATGTTGCTTTACAACTCAAAAGTCTGGTTACATTTTAACTGAACCAATTAGATTATTCAATTTATGAGCTGACATTCAGCAAGTGTTTATTGGGAAGTGTACTCCACTCTAAAAATGGAAACAGCATGTTGAATAAGAAAACAATCCTATTAATCTTGGCTACTATTTCAGGAAAAAATACTTTATAAAAACTTCATAATCTATACAAAAAGAAATCTAACTAGTTTGATCTTACAACAAATATACCAGTACAATATGTAGTGCAAATGCAAAAATAAATAAAATTAAATGAAAATAGCAAAACGTAACCAGTCTATTTTCGTCTTGAGGGAGGAAAAAAACCCTAACAAAGTCGCTGTTGGTACGCTCAGCGATTCCCATTCCTAAGTACCACAAACTGAAATTCTTTTATTGAGTAATTTCTTCCTCATAGCGCGCTACCAAAATTATCAGTATTCTGCCAGAACATAGTCGTTTAAGACCACTAATAAGACCCCACAGAACCGCAATCCAAAATGCCAGTCATAATTCCTGTAAGGTCCAGAAAATTCCAAATTGTAGTCCCAGGCCGTGGAAACAGTCTATTCAAAGGACTCCAAGAATAGGATGTCCTCATGAATGCGTTCAGTCTCGACCTCCCTGACACCACATGACCTTTCTACGAAGACAGTTCTTAAAACTTAGCAACTGAGATCTCCCTTCTCTCTGAAGTTAAAGGAGGCAAGGCTGCTGAGATGCGCAGGTCGACTGCTCGGTGCCACCCCGGGTCAAGTGCTTGTCTTTCGCTACTCCCCTTACCGTGAGCAGATCAGAGAGGGAAGAAAGGAAAATTGGCCTCCAAGGATGGGTTTAGGGAAGAAGGGAGGGGCATCTCCGTGTATGGTAACCATTTGTGAACACGTACGGTGGCGCGCGGGCGGCAAGAACGCACTAAGAGATCACGTCGTGCCGGCCGCCATGATAGCCTGCCGGTGGGGCCCATCACTGGGCCTGCGCGCCAGGCTGCCGACCAACGACCACTCCTTCCTCAGCAGCGTAATCCCTCCGCTGAAAGCCGCGCACTAATTTTAATCACGCCCCGCCCCCAGCCGCTGGCGTCACCTCCGTCACTCCAGCGCTTTCCAGCAGCTTCCAGAACCGTACTCGCCACCCCCACCCCCCCACTCCCCGCCCGCCTTCCCCACTCACACTTTGCAGGCTCTGTAGCTATGGGCCCCGCCCTGTCGCCGCAGTTCCCACTGCGCCTGCGCTTGCAGGCCGGGCAAGCCACGCCTCTGCGGAGTACTGCCGGAAGTGCTCTGGTCTTCCCCTTCCCCTGCCCGCGTGCTTTCAAGCAGGGCGCTCTGCAGGAAAGTGTTTGTGGGGTAGCTCTTTGGTGGCGGACTCCCAAGCGGAAGTTGCTTTCCTTGCGAAGAGGGCTGTGGGGGAGGAGCCGTCCGAGGGAACGTGGGTTGAACGTTACGGGTTGGTGGTGTTGGACCTCAAGCTGGAAAAGGAGTTCGGATCTACTGTACACGAAGAAGGAGAGTGCTTCGGGCAGGTAAGGTAGACAGTAAATTCCTCGGGAAGTAGAAATTGGGACGGCTGGAGTGCCCGGGTTGGGTCCTTGGCACGCTGAAAGGATGGGGTAGAAACAAGGTTCTGGTGGGAAAGGTGGAGAATGGAGGTGCAGACTGGGTCTTTAGGGTCCGTTTCGGCTCAAAGAGGTAAACGCTGAACAGAAACCAGAGTTTGTGCCCGCTCCACGAAGAGCGTGGAGATGGGCTGGGTAACGGAACGCCGCGCCTCTTGGACTTCCTTGGTTGGCTTTTGAAGCTCACCTCGCGTGGCCCTATTCGTCTTAAATTCGGGAAGCTGGGTTGGGTACCAAGCAGGACTGGGCTCTGAAAAGCCTACTCCTTGCCTGGGGTTTAAGTCTGTTGGCCTTGGCAGAGCCGAGAGAGGTAAAGATCCGACGGGTTCCAGGCCCTTCTTCGAGTACCTGTAATAGTTTCTACACATGTAGTGAATTAAATTCAAATCCCTCTCGTGATTGACAGCTAAATGAGGCCGGGGTGGGGCGTAGAGGAAAAGTGCTGGAGATGAACACTGGAAAAACTTGGTTGTTCTTGAAATAAGCCCATGCCATAATCTTTAGGATGTATTGAGCTGTTTGGGTAGACTTCTATAATCAGATTGGATTAAATAGGTGGTTTGACGCGGAGATGTCACTTTGACAGTGTTATGAATGGAAACGTGTTCGAAACATTTCAAAGCACCGTCCACGAGTTTAGATGACGCCGTGCAAACATGAGAGAGATGAGAGTAGACGACGACACAAACTTTCTAGTCTATATTTGGAAGCCCAAAGATGCCAAAATTTAGGTACTGTAGAGGGAGGAACAGGTTACACTTGAAGAAAAAAATAAGAAGGTAATTTATTTCTAGACAAATTGAAATTTGAAAAACACCCCAGGGTTTTATATATAAGACAGCGCTTGAAAGTCTACTTTTGGTATTTTAAACATGAATATTCTTTGGGGAGGGAGAGTTTCTTAATATTACCTGGTGTTTCTACTACTGTCTTAATGCGGTTCCTCCCTCCCCTCTCCTTTCCTTCCTACCATAGACAAGGTCTTACTATATACCCCTGCTTGGCTTGGAATTCACATGTGAAACAGGCTGCCTTGAGACTCACAGAAATCTGCAATAGATCTACTCAAAGACATCCATGGCCTGGAATTAAAGGCTTAAAGACATGCACCTCCATGCTCCATACGCCTCGACTCCTTTCCTGACACAGTAGATGGATCAGGAAAGCAGACTTGAAGGCTTCTCATTTTTACTCCCATATTGAGAAAGAACCATTCCAGATAGTTTTCTAGCTCCTCAGGCAGATAAAAAGTTTTATCAACACCCTTTTGAGGAGCCTGCAGTTTTCTCTTCTGAGAATGAATGCAGAATGACAGAAGGAACACATCTCTTCCTCATAACAAAGTAGACCAGTTGGTAACTGTAACTTAGGTGTTAGCATCTTACCTTGGCTTTGTTTTCATCTTAGAACAAATCCAGGTGCGTAGCTTTGGCTTTTACCACTGTAGCATGGGACTTTCCTGTGTCCTGAAATTCTCTAGGTTATAAGTAGAACCAGCTAACAGTCGAGCTGACTTCTTCAGCTTCACTGATACCAACCTTTCTTTGTCTGTGTCTATGACTACCTCTCTTTGTCTCTGTCTGTGTCTGTCTCTCCCCACCCCCTCCCAGCCCAGGTAGACTTTGAGTTCATTTGTAGCTGAGGCTGGTCTTAAATTGTATCTGCTTCCTCCTCCCAATTGGGTACAGATTTTTTCAAACTGCATGTATGTTTTTAGACTTATTCTTCACAAGAAAGGCTTTTCAGCTAGGACAAAAAAGCATAACTAGTTTTTTCTTTTGTTTT